CTTAAAAAAATATAACAGTAATTTATTCAACAAAAAAGTATAACATATAAAGATAATTAATTACGCATTTCTTAGTAGATGTTCATTTCATGTAAAAAAATATTCACATTTTTTTTTTCGTGATTACAGTCACTGTATTAAATTAAACATTTTGAACATAATATGTGAATATCAAACATGACTATAAAATTGGAAGTGCAATAAAATAAAATTTTAATTTTTTTTAAATACTTTCAAATTTATGCTATAGAAATTAATTAAATTTATATTTTCTAATTAATTAATATTTTCAAAATAAATAATTAATCAATTTAATAATATTTTATTCATTTTTAATATCTAATTTCTATATTAAATAAGTAAATTACAATTGGTTTCACTAATAAATAATATTTCGGTTTATTCGAATAAAATATCTATTTGTTATGACAACGTTATTCAATAATGCTATAAAAATTAGTAATTTAATTATTTCATATTATAACTTGATTCATCGTCCAACAATTACATATGATATGAGCAGCTAATATGTATACGGTATTTTTATTCACAAACATAACATATCAATAATCCTTAACATAATTAATTACATACTTAAGAAGTAACTCAACACGATAACTAATAGTTACTTAAAAAAATATTACTATAATTTGTTCAACCAAAAGATATAATGTACGAGGATAATTAATTACATACTCTTTAATAGACGGTCATTTTATGTAAAAAAAAGTTCACATTTTTTGGGTCATTTTTATGGTCACTATATTAATTTTGATATTTTGAATATAACGACATTAGATTATCTGAATATTAAATATGACTATATACACAACATATAAGGATAATTAATTATGCACCCGTTATAGATATTCATTTAATGTAAAAAAATGTTCATATTTTTTATTTTATTTTTACAGTCACTATATTAACTTATAAAATTTGAATATAACAAAGTGAAATTATTTGAATATCGAACGTAACTATATATATTATATAAGAAAATGCATCTTTTATAGATGCTCATTTCATGTGAAAAAATATTTATATTTTTTGTTTCATTTTTATAGTTATTATATTAACTTTGAAAATATGAACATAATAATATGAAATTATTAAAATATTAAATATTATAATACATAACATATAAGAAAATACATCATTGACATATTTTCATTTCATGTGAAAAAATATTAATATTTTTGTTTCGTATTTATAATTATTATATTAATTTAAAAAATTTGAACTAAACATTACGAAATAATGTGAATATCAGATATGTTAATACATAATGTATAAAGAAATATATTTTTTATAGATACTCATTTTATGTGAAAAATGTTCGTATTTTTTTATTTTGTCGTTATAGTAACTATATTAATTTAAATTTTGTGAACATAATAACATTAAATCATATGAATATCAAATATTACTATATATAGTATATAGAGATAACTAATTATGTACCCGTTATAAATATGTATTTTATGTGAAAAAATATTTACATTTTTTGTTATGTCTTTATGGTTATCGTATTAAATTGAAATTTTTTAACATAACAGCATAAAATTATTTGAACGTTAAACATAATTACATATAATTAAAATTGTAGAATAATAAAATTTTAATTTAATTTTTAAATAATTTTAAATTTATACTAGTAATTAAAAGGTTTTTTTCTAATGAATTAATATTTTTAAAATAAGAAATACTTAATATTTTGTTATTTTTAAATATTTAATTTATATATAAAATAAATTAGTCCTATGTTGAGCAGATTGGGAGACCACCATTAAACGCAAGCCAGAGAAGCCGACAATCAAACACAACACAAATGGAGATTCCATGGAACGATATACACCTAATCGGCTCTCATAAACCCATTTTGGTAAAATCAATACGGGAGA